TCTCTCTCTCTCTCTCTCTCTCTCTCTATTTAAATATACTTTTTTTTATTATATTTGTGAATACCATTAAGATTATTTCTTATTGAAATGTTTTTTTAACAATTTCATAGCAATTGTAGTAATAATATATTGTAGTTCTATTATGGTGTTGGCTTCTATTATGGTTATAGATTTATTGCACGGGTAATTCTTTTGTCAAAAAAAAATTTATTTTTATTTACTTTTCTCAGAGTAGAGTTCATCTTTTTACATTTAAATTAATTTTCTTGGCATATGTTGATTTGTATTTTGCTAATTGTTGCAATGTGTGCTACATCAGTCTATACTATATTTTCTCTCTCTATATATATACATGTATTCATTTTTTTTTTTAAATGAATATTTCTTATTGAAATGTTTTATTGACAATTTCGCAGCATTTGTAATAATAATATTGTATATATATATATATATAATTATTATTATGGTAAAGGCAGTGTTGATTAATTTGATTTTGTAATATTTAAAAGGAGTTTGTTGTATCCTGAAGAATGCTTCAATAATGGATCGGCCTGTTGGCCAAAAGTGGTGGTTCTAATGGATAACGGATTTATTACGCGGGTAATTCATTTTCATTTGTTAATTAAAATCAGCAGTCTGTCAGTGTTTTATCTATTGGTGACTACTCTGTGTGTTGTATGTTGAACTAAATCATACGTTTTTAATTTTTGTTGTCGTGTTTATTTATCCACACTCAAGAACGTCTTTGTGGTGTTCTCGAATATCTCAAAATAGAGTTCTTCTTTATACGTTTCAATCGATTTACTTTGCATATTTTAATCGTTAGTTTGATTTGTATTTCATTTATTGGTGCAATACATGTACTACATCAGTCTATACGATCTCTCTCTCTCTCTTTATATTTATATGTATAGAAATTATTTTATGTGTGTGATCGAGACAATAAAAAAAAGACCGTATTTATTTATCCCCGTAAAACTTTTCAACCGACGCGTCGGCCGTGTTACCGATTTCTCCTGTTATTGTTCGACGCGACGTAGTGTATCCGGCACAGCCGGATACCCCTTTCCATAATCTGTTACCTACTTGGTAACCGGCTTTTGCAACCCCTTCTCTAGATCGCGGAGCAAACCCTTGGTTTCCGTAGCGAGGCGTACGTTCGAAACGTTTGGACTTCCTTTCCGAAATCGTCTTTTCCCGATCCGACTTCGCTTTTGCAGCCTCTGTGCTAGAATAGCGGACGGGTTTGGATTTGTTGTGGGGTGGGGTTGCACTTTTTCCCGTAATCGCTTGCTCCCGATCCCGAAAAATATTACACCACTAATTGTTAATTATTTAAACGTATCGTTCGGGTTTAAATAAATACATATACACTACTTACATTTCTGTACGTTGTACCGTAGTAACGCGCATACACGAAACGACATAGAATAATATATAAATAATAATAATAATATAACGTGTTTAGTAAAATTTTGAAATAAAATGTTTCTTTAAATAAATATTACTGTCTATGATTATTAGGATTCGACGATTATAGTTTTTACATTTTGTCGTATTGTTTGAAATTAATCTAAACTTGAGGTGTTTGATTGACATTTCTCAGTGGCTAATGTCCCATAGCATTCATTGAACACATTTCCCCGTTTCATAAATAGATTTTGAACAAAATATTTGTGAGTAAGAGTTAAGATATTGAGGCACTTGACCAGTGTTCGAAACCAAAAATGATAGCAGAATTTTTACGTGCATAACTGTATACACAGCATACCGCAAATAAAGATCCTGTTCAGTAAATTTCTGTATATTAAAAGTACGCCTTCCCTTAGGAATCATTACTATAATCAAATTCATGTAATTCAAAGAATTTATGGAACTCCCTAACGAAATTACTTATTAGCATAAAGAAATACAACATAGCGGATATGAGATTGTGTGGAGACCGCAATAAAAATAAATCGGAATTTTAAAGCAGAAAAAACGTAAAATCTGTTCCAGGTGAAGCTATAATGAGGGGCTGGATTTTAGTATATAGCTAGAGACTAGACACTAGACACTAGATACTAGATACTAGATACTAGACACTAGATACTAGATACTAGACACTAGATACTATATACTAGATATACTAGATACTAGATACTAGATATACTAGATATACTAGATACTAGATACTAGATATACTAGATATACTAGATACTAGATACTAGATACTAGACATACTAGATACTAGATACTAGATATACTAGATACTAGATACTAGATACTAGATATACTAGATACTAGATATACTAGATACTAGCTATATACTATTTTCGTAAGCCCCTCAAATAAGGTCGACTTGGAAGAAATATTCCGTTTTTTACGCTTTAAAATTCACCTTTCTCTTTTCTCTCCGCTTCTTTGGCGCCGTTCGACGGCCCCTATCGTTTCGCGTCTTTTCCTCCCTTCGTTCGAATTTTTCGCCGTACCCGTTTTTTTTTATTCGCGATTTTCCGATTTCTGTGGAACGGAAAACGACGCGAAATAGGGGAGCGCGCCTCCCACTCGGCCGCTCGCATTCCCGCCTTTTCGTCGTTATCATCGCGTCCGACGCCCAAACGCGGTCGTTATCACCGCGTCGCCGTTTTGTACGTCGTTNGCGCCGCCCGCTTTGTGCGTCGTTTGTTCTGTCGTTATTTCAATATTGCGTATTGACCGTATCCGTTTATTAATGTGATTTTGTAAATTTTCTACTTCTACTACTATTGCCATTATGTACATGTTAATCGAAACTCGCCGTTGGTAATTTTACACCGCGATTACTGCGATTAACGCAGTTTATCAATTGTCGATATTGTGACGGTCTTTGATTTGATTTGATTTTGTAATTTTTAGATGGCGTTTGTCGTGTGCTCGGAGGACTGCTTCGATAATGAGAGTGCTGGCTCTAACGATCTAACAAACGGATTTATTAACACGGGTAACGCTTTTTTATTCGTTAAAAAACACAAAAAAAAGAAACTGTGCGTTTGACGTTTTCACAACCGTTGTAAGTCATATAATTAATCGATTCGATTTTATAGTTTTTAGACGGCGTTTGTTGTATCCCGAGGAATGTTTCAATAACGACTCGGCCTGTAGGCCAATCGGTTCTAATGGATAACGGATTTATTACGCGGGTAATTCATTTTTTTTTTTTTATTTATACAATATTACTCGGTTAGTAATTAATATAGTTTTTGGTAATGGTAATGGCACTGATAAATTAATTTGATTTTGTAATTTTTAGACGGTATCTGTGGTGCCACGATAACGAGTAAGCTAGAGATTGATGATGGCAGTCATCGCTGTTGAATTTATTGCAAAGGTAATTCGTTTTCATTTGTTAAAAAAAATTTATTGCTATTGAATTTTTTCAAAATAGACTTCATCTTTATATACATTTTAATCATTAGTTTGATTTGTATATCATTTATTGGTGCAATATGTACTACTACATCAGTCTATACAATCTATATATTTATATAAATACATTTTTTAGCTTCGATGCGAAGCTGAGAAGGTATTAATTTTACCATGATGTGTTTATTTTTTATTTTTTTTTTTTATTTTTTTTTTTT